CAGACTCTTTCCGTAACACTGTTAACAGCAGGCTCTCTCGCCAAAGAGCCCTTTAATGTTTATAGAAATGTTTTATTGAATTGTACCTGACTTTATACTGAATGATATTTTAAAAGGAGGGCTTTAATGATACTGCCGGGGGCGTGGCTGTTTACACTTGGCTCGTTTACAACCAGGGCTCCAGGGTGAAGCAGGCGTCTCTGTTGAACAGTCAGTATTTGCTAGGGGAGGAACACAGAAATGACAATAGGCTAAGACACAGCTGCCATTAACTGCGGCCACTGACCACCTGCAAATATTATGAGTGCCATGCCTCTTCTTCCACAGGATCCTGCTGCCGGCACATGGAGAACGCCCCCTCGGATCAGCTGCTGATGTCGACAATCTCCAGGGAGAACCTGAGGTAGCACAGCCAGCATCTCAGAAGGTGCATGTGTGTTGGGGGCACGGCGGCTTTCAGGACCCACTTCAAAATCTTTGTGGGGAAACGGTCATGTGGCCCCCCTGCTTACCCTCAAGGAAAAGGGTTTCAGCATTCAATATGAAATCTAAATGGGATGTAACCAAACTCAGAGACGACTTCCTGCCTGAACGGGGCCCAGGTAATTTGCTCAGTACAGTCCGATCGCATCAGATTTTGGAAGCTAAGCAGGGTTGGTACTTGGGTGGGAGACCACCAAGGGAGGCTTTGCGAAGGAAGGCAATGGCAAACCGCCTCTGCTTAACCACTTGTCTTGAAGACCCCTTGCTGGGGTCGCCAAAAGTCAGCTGAGACTCGATAGCACTTTACGTACTCTCAGAGAACCGATCCCAAGCAGCCACAGGACTACAGCGACACACCGTTTTAAAGACTGGATCAATATTCCCAGAAAGGTTTTCAAACGGGTTATGAATTGCAGGGCGAAGTCCACAAATCACCAGCTTTAGCCTCTGTCTAGTCACTCTGAACATGAAAGATTCCCCCCACAAGCGGTCCAAAACTGTTCCAGTGAGTCAAGGTCACATGACTTGACATGCCTGAGAGTGCCAAATAAGTTTCCCAGAAAACCCTTTTTGGTCTCTAAGGCGCTACTGGACTTTAATAGAGCTGTTCTACAGGGTGACCAGAAGACATTCTCCAAGCTTTTCTGTATTCTAGGAATCATGCACTTCTTAAACAATCAAGATTTCGCAGCAGAAACATTTCCTGAATGGAAGAAGACAGGCAGAAGAGGAGAACGCTAACTCCCCCACCATGTTTAGGTGACTGTCCAGGAAAAAATACTGCTTGGAAATCTTCAGCCTCAGAGACCAACCAGGCAGGGCTTCTGTGCTCACCAAAATGCCCTGAGCAAAGCAAGGGAGAGCAGATGAGCAGAAACCAGCCCACTTGCTGAACCCACAGCAAGAATTTATCGAGCTAAGAGGTTGTCACGGCTCATGACTAACCGAACAAACTTAGTGTGGCCTCTTGTCACACAGGGGTCAGCAAATCTGTCTTCTGCTTCTTCAGAACAGAAAAGCAGGTTCAGAGACTGTCACGGGGGACAGGGTGAGGTTGGAGGTACAGACATCCCCCTTGCGGTCCAATAGAACTGTGTACGAGGAGTTTTTCATGGGAAAGGAGTTGTGTGAATGGGGAACAAAAATCAAGCTGTAGTTCTTTTGATTAAAAATAAATTATAATTGCTTGGGCAGATAAAAATTTGGTGGCTCTTGGAGCTGAAACACATTCCTCTATCGGGAGTATCCAGCCTCTGGCCTACAGGCAAACAGAGGGTACGGAAGGGGGGGGGAGGGAAGCTGCTGCATTTATTTCCCTGGGAGCAGCTTGCCTTTGCTCAGCCATGTCAGTGGTGCAACTTTTGCCTGATACATTCAGAAGTTTGTACATGACTCGAAGGGGGTGCGGGATTCACTGCCATGTGTCCATACGATTTGTTTCCAGCACAGCAGATGCAATGATATTTTGGTGGTCCCAGTCTAGTATGCCCCCACACACCTTGAAACATCTCTTGGGGTGGGTGGAGGAAGGCATCACTTTTAGTGTACAAACTGGATCTTCCCTACTCATATGTACAACCATCCAGGTCTTGTATCTATCCGATTTTTAGCTCACCCTTCCTCCACGGAACTCGGGACAGCACCCTCCTCCTCCGCGTATCCACGTAAAGACCCTGTGAAGTTAAGCTGAGAGGGCATGACTGACTGATCCAAACTTACCCAGTGAGCTTTATGCTTGAGTGGGGATTTGAGACCTGGGTCTCACCCATTCAGAGTCTCTCATTCGGAAAGCCAGTGTGGTGTTGTGGTTAGACTCTCAGACTAGGATAGCGGGAGAACCTGGTTTCCAATCCCCACTCTGCCATGGTGTTCTTGGGCCAGCCCCCTCTCAAGCTTAACCCACCTCAAAGGGCTGCTGTGAGGCTGAAATGGAGGAGGGGAGGAAAATGCTGTAAGCAGCCGCTTGGGGTCCCTGCTGGGTCCTTGCTGCTCACGGATTTGTGAGCTGCGATCGCTCACTTATTCACAGTGCGATCATGTGACAAGTCTCCAGCCTGCTTTTACTCCCGCAGTGCCATTATTGTAATCATTACACCATTACATTCGGGGGGGGGGGATTTTCGTGACTGGGAAGCAGCAGAATGCTCCCAGTATCCATGGATTCTGCCATGTGCATGGATCCCAGGGACAGACAAACCTCCTCCGTGAATGGGAACAGGTCTTCGGTAAATACAGAGAAAGAGGTAGGAGAGAGAGAGACCCCATATATAGCCCTAGAGTTAGAAGGGGGTCACAGGCCATTAGCTCAATTCCCTTCCTGAAGACCTCCTGTGTGGGTGAGCTCCCCCCTCCCCAATAATTAGTTCCATCTCCAGCCTGCTTTTGCCATTGGGAAGTTTCTCCTGACATTCTCCTGGCATCTCCCCCCCCCCCC